GATGGCACTTTTCGTTTCTGTACCGATTATCGTAAAGTGAACCAGGTCACTGTCTCAGACTCCTACCCTTTACCTTTGATTGAAGATATATTAGACAGCATAGGCTGTGCCAAATTTATCAGTACGGTGGACTTATTGAAAGGATATTATCAAGTGGGACTCACGGATAGGGCAAAAATAATCTCGGCATTTATAACTCCCTTTGGTCTTTTTCAATATTTGGTTATGGCGTTTGGCTTTTCTAATGCTCCGGCCACATTCCAGAGGGCCATCAACTACCTTATTCAGGACCTAGGTGGGACGTTCGCCTACCTGGATGACCTGGTGGTGGTGTCGGACAGCTGGGACGAACATCTGGTGCGTTTGGAGATACTGTTTGCATGACTGCAAGAGACTGGATTCACCATAAACCTGGCTAAATCTGCTTTTGGCCGGGCCTCAGTGACTTACCTGGGACATATCGTTGGGCATGGTATGGTGAGACCCAAGGACGCAAACGTTAGAGCCATCTTGTCCTTCCCCACTGCAAGGACGAGGAAGGAACTCATGCGCTTCCTTGGGATGTGCGGCTACTACCGTCGGTTCTGCAGTAACTTCTCCAGCGTGGCTGGACCCCTCACAGACCTTACCAGTTCTGCGGTCCCTTACATCTGGAACCAGAGGTGCGACCAGTCTTTCCACCGCCTCAAAGCCTCTTTGCCTCCAAGGCTTCCGTAGTCCACCCCTGGATTACACCTCGCCCTCTCATCTGCAAATCGACGCCAGTGGTGTTGAGGGCCAGTCTTGCCAACCCGAATCTAACCACTGATGTTCTTCAACTTATGGCATATTACTCCGCCAAGTTGAAAAACATCAGACCAACTACTCGACCATAGAGAAGGAGGCCCTGGCTCTGGTGTTGGCAATAAAGAAGTTTGAATGTTACCTCCAGTCTTGCCCACAAACAACCCTAGTCTTCACTGACCATAACCCACTCACGTTCATCCAAACCAACAAGACCTCCAACCAGCGAATCCTCCGCTGGGCTCTCCTCACCCAGCCCTATAATCTACAAGTCCGGCACATAAAGGGGGTGGACAACCTGATTGCAGACTCCTTATCCCGAGCTCCAGTGGAAATGCAGCAGCTACTCTCCAGACGCACCAGGTGATCACCTCCTTCGCGCCGTGCTACGGAGGTCTTTGGAGGGGGTGTGTTACGAACCCCTCCACCCAGCACTACGAACCACGCCATCTATTGTCTTGATCTACCTACCCAGCACCACGAGCAACGCCATCTAGGGACGAGACACGAGTATGACTCGTCTTAGTTAACACTCCGGGGTTTCCCTTCTCCATATCCTGGTTGTTGCGTCACTTCCTCCAAGTCTTCCTTGTGAGCTCCAATTCGAGGAGAGGGCACTTGGCTCTGGGAAGTGACCACAGGATCATCTATCCTCTAAACCTGCGGCGCAGTGACTACCTACCGTCTTCTACAATACTCAGCCTTACTCGTCAGCCATCTCAGCTCCTCACTTAAGTATTTGTATTCTTGTATTGCCTCCCCCACGTCCACTTGCTTCAAAATTGTTTATGTTGTATTAATATGTATATACTGTACTGTTAATGTTTAGGTTAAGTTTTGTTAAGGGTAATTTATAAGCTGATATTTTGTTAAGGGATTTATGGTACTTTATTATACACAACGAAAACTCGCATCCTTTGTCTACCCTTTTAGAGTCCGATTGTCTTTGGGTTTTTTTTATAGTTGTTACCTGTTGGGATCTGGGTAGACTTAAAACTATTTTCTAAATCCCCAACTCATAACAATATCTTCAGAGGGCAAAAATTTGACTCATGACCCTGAACGTTTGAGGCACTCAGATGAAAAAAGAGCTCCATTTACAGTTTAAGTTTTTAAACTATTTCTTTCTTTGATTTTGAAGAGAATAATTTTGCTGAATACTCTTTCACATTCAACCCAAAATTATCGTACAAACCGTACGATAATAGAAAATGTTATCGTACATCGTGACGAAGATGAATTTATCTTTTACTTTTTTTTACTTTTATCCTCTTCGCCACTGATCCGCTTGTTAGCCGCTTGGGCGATCGGTCACGTCTCTTTTCATTTATATTCTTCACCAAAAGATCGGCTCGCTAGCCGCCCGGGCGATCGGTCACGTCTCTGTCACGCACTGTTGGCAAATACTGGGCATGCACTAGCTCCTGAATGTACCTGAACCCGCTCCAGTGTTGGTCGTCTTCTCTTGAAAGAGCTCACACTCGGTGCTGTCACAACACTCTCTGGTAGATTGTTCCAGGAGTTTACAACCCTCACTCTGAAAAAGTTTGCCCTCACGGTTTTCTGGACTTGCGGCTTTTTCAATCTTGAGCTGTGACCCCTTGTGGGGCGAGCGTCCGCCAGCTCCAAGTAAGGACACTCAACTGAGTAGTGCCCCCTGAGATGCTTATACACCTCAATCCAGTACCCCTCAGTCTGTCTGTGCAGCGTTATGCGTCTAGGCGCTCCAATCTCTCAGGGTAGCTGAGGTGTCGAAGTGCAGGCACCAGTCTGGTGGCCCTCCTTTGAACATTTTCAACCAACTGACAATCCCTAGCATATCTCGGGGACCAGATGAGGTGACAGTACTCAAGATAGGGAAGCACTTCACTCCTGAAGATCGTCACGAGGGACGGACCGTCTAGATATCTGAACGACCGTCTTATAAGACCCAATAATTTATTTGCCTGATTTACCTTCTTACAATGGCCCGAGAACTTCAGCTCATTGTCAACATACACACCTAGGTCCTTCTCACACACAGTCTCAATTAGTGCATTTTCTTCATCCCGTTGGGACATATGATACGCCTCCTTACCGTTGGTACGCCCCAGGTGCATCCTCTTACACTTCGTGACATTGAATCTCAGCAGCCATTTCTTCGACCATTCCTGGAGCCCACAGAGGTCCTTCTGCAGCTCTTCACAGTCCGCTTGGTTCTTAATTTCCCGAAATAACTTGCCATCATCGGCAAACATTTGTATGGAGGAGTGTACAACGTCAGGCATGTCATTTATGAAACAAACAAACAACAGCGGGCCCAATACACTGCCCTGTGGTACCCCACTTGTTACAGGTGCAGATGACGATTTCGTGCCATTAATCACCACACACTGCTTGCGGTCATGTAGAAAGTCTTCATCCACGCTAGGACATTTCCCCGAATTCCGTACCCTTCCAGTTTGATTTTCAGCCTTTCGTGGGGTACACTGTCGAAAGCCTTGGCAAAATCTAGGTAAATATTGTCGATATTACCACCCCGTTCCAGAATATGGGTCCAAATATCCAATACCTTGAGCAATTGTGTCAAGCAAGAGCGCCCCGGCATAAAACCGTGTTGGCAATCTTTTACAAGGTTGTTTCGTAGTAGATGTTCCATCGCTGCATCTCTGATAATACTCTCAAGTACTTTACATATTATGCTGGTCAGGCTCACCGGTCTATAATTGTTCGTGGAGTGACTATCGCCCTTCTTGAAGATAGGACTCACATAAGCCACTTTCCATTCACTGGGAACCATTTGTTCATCCAGGTATTTACAAAACAGGAGCTTCAGGGGCTCTGCAAGCTCGTTGCACAGCTATCATACATGCAAGTAAATCACTGTAGGTGCGCGTGATCTAGTTATATGCTGATAACCACAAGGAAAGAAGAAAACACGAAGTTCCCAAGCGCTTTCGTGTAATTGAAGATGTGAATTACACGAAAGCGCTTGGGAATTTCGTGTTTTCATCTTTCCTTGTGGTTATCATACATGTATGATAATTATCATACATGTGACAACTCTGCTGCTTCAATATGATTGGCCAGCCAATTCAAATGCTATGATACCTGAAGGTCATGTCATTTCATGTCGCGAAGAGGAGGAGACAAGTGACTGGCAACATGGCGGGTACAGAAATTTACTCCTAGAAATTTTGTGAAATGTTCCGTTAATATTGATTTGCACAAGAAATGATATGAAGTCGTATGTTTTATTTTTTTTTGTAGCTGTAATATTGAAAATTGAAATCTTGCGGACAGCCAATGGACGAATATTAACATAAAATATTATAGTTCCATAATATTTTTTTTGATAATAGAAAATAAGGGAGAAAGGGAACACGGTGTTCTTACTTTCACTTCTAGCGAGAATAAATGTCCCTCATTCATTACTGTACAGAGAGACATAAATAAAGCCAATTATGCCAAACTGAAATTACCCTAAGATCTTAATGTTACATAAAGAATATTTATCTCAATTATATATATTTTATTAGACCGGTTTATATATCTAGCAGTATTATTTATCTTTTCTGAAATACGAAAAAGAATTTAAATCACCAACATACTGTAGTTTACGTAACTATTAAATACAATTTCAACCTTTATATATCTTCAATAGTTTAATAAAACCATTAAATATATATAAAATTATATATTTAAATAAGAGAACTGTGCGTTAGATACATGAATAATGAAAAAAAAAGTTATCACCATTAAATTAGTTTCTTTAGGTTGTTTGTGGTGTTTAGGAGGACAGCTGATCACTCCTCACAACTCAGACCAAATTTCCCATTCAAGTTTTTTCTCTCCCCTTACCATGTGATAAACAATCAGGTAAGGTCCTAAAACGTATATTAAAACCACTAATTAAACCTGAATTAATTTTAAAACTAGAATAAAGTTACGTAGTTGTAGATGAGATACGAATGGTGACTTGTTGTGCTTGTATAATAATTGACCTTTTTGAGTGAATACATAATTATTTATTTGTATATTGAGGGATTAAATAAGTATATGATGTGAAAGAGTGTGTTTTGGGGGTGTTATTTAGCGAGGGAAATGAGTTATGTATAATGGGTTAGTGTTATGTTGTTTACGTGTATATTAAGGTCAAGTTCTTTCTGGGTTTGTGTTATTTGACCTGTTCTTGATATAGTTTGATTTTATTTGACCTATTTTTGACATATTTTGACCTTATTTGACCTGTTTTATATAGTTTGACCTTATTTGACCTATTTTTGACATTTTGACCTTATTTAACCTGTTTTATATAGTTTGACCTTATTTCACCTGTTTTTTTTATAATTTGACCTTATTTGACCAGTTCTTGATATAGTTTAGCCTTATTTCACCTGTCCTGTCCCCTAAAATATTAAAATTACCCAAACTAACCTAGCCAAAGGTAATTCTAACCAACCTAACCAATTTTAATATATTTTAACCAAACCCAAATAAAACCAAATCTAACCTAATAATCTTGTGGTCATTTTTGGTTAGGTTAGGTTCTTAACAATGAAAATATAGTGTTAGTGGATTATTTATATTATTTTCTTTTATAATTTATCTCTATAATCAGTCGCTTGAATGTCATTTTTATTTGAATTTTTTTTACCCAAATTAATTTTTAGCTGTGTAATTTATTTATTTGTTGCTTGTGTTTACTTTGTTATTTTTAGTTATATTTATAATTGAATGTTACTCTGGGTAGCTTCAGATGACCGATTAAATGTCGAAAAAGTCTGAATTACTAATACAGTCGAGTAACACTTGAAATGTTGGATACTGTACAAGAATAAAGGACTATTTCTTAAGCAGTTTTAGTGGATATATATATATTTTTTTGCATAGATCATTCTGTTCATTGTCATCCTCGCTGCAATGTTCAGTTACTTGGTGATGGCAGTGTGACAAGGAAGCTAAGTCCAGAATATGTCTTCAAAAGCAATACTCAATCTGCTTAATCAGCGCACATGGCTTGATTGATTAATACACCAAGGCAGTCAGTTTGAACCTGTGGTCTATTCACCCTGGATATATCATCTGTCGTACCGTATTAAAAAAAAATCAGCAAAATATCCCTCACAGACATCTGGCAGAAGAATTACAGTCTGGTGATGGCCTCATGACTTAGCGTTCCGTCAGCTCTTCTACTGTTATATATATCGTCTGTGTTGTGTACGAACTGATTCAAGTGAAATACAAAGAAAGGAGGTGGGAGATGTTATACTGGCAGATAGTAACATTCATTCCTGTGTGTTATATGTCAGGTTTGGTAAAATGATTATAAACTTGTTGCTTAATGTTGTTGTTGTTGTAGAATATTTCCTTTTGTTTTGAAGGAAATGGCCTGCAGTGCTGATGGCTTACCCACAAGTGAGGCCCTCAGTCTCTTGCATGAGGACATCTCCATCGCTTTGGATGAATATCAGAAGACAGAAGCTGAAAAGTAAGTGTAGAAAAGATTATTAATTAATTTTGAAATACAGTATTAACCTGTGGGGCATATTGGAGTCTGTACTTTCTTGTAAATGAGGCGTATAGACTAACCAGGGCGTATGTGCGAATATCTCAACTCGGTTCAATTATTCGGGCTGTACTGCATGTTTTCTGCCCTTGGTTTCTTATGGGATTGTACCACGCTGGAGGTGTATCCACATTGCCTGACAATGATGCTATGGACTGACACAGAAAATGGGAAATTGAGCAACCCAGTGATGTGCCCTTGCTATTGTAAACACCTCATATGTTTGGTGATACTGTATTATGTTTTATATTTCAGGAACAAAGGTTTTGGACCAAAGAGTGTTCTGTATGAAGCCTTCCACCACAAGAGTAGTCTCTCTGTGTTTCATTGGACATCAGTGATAGCGTTGATCGTTGAAGGCATCGTGCTGCTGGTGGCCTTCGCTGCATGTAATGACCCCAGGTGTGTACAGTATGGGTCCATAAAATACAACAGGCATATGAAGTTACCTTTGATTCTTTCTGTGCTATATATTGACCTGAGAATGTGGACTGGTGTAATATTCTCCATACATAGGTAAAAATATATGACCTTATGATTTGGTATGAGTGTAAATACAAGCAAACATACAGTAGCAGTAAAGCAACCATTTGTTGACAGATAGGATAACTACTCTGATGTCCTTAATAATTTTTCCATTAGAGAATTTAAGATGAATTTTGTTCTGTTTAGATTTACAGATGATGTAATATGTTTATTATTATTATCAGGTACCAGCATCTTCCTGCCGAGTCCTTCTTCATTTTCTTAGCAGTAATTCTTAACGTGTACTTGGTGTGGTGGGACACTCAGCTGAGGCACAAAGAGGTCCCAAGACTCACACACAACGTCTTAAAGGATCTTAAAGGTAAAGCATTGTGACTTACGGTAACGTTTTTTATTAATATCCGAACATTGTCTGTGAATTTTAAAACTGTTCTTTATTTAGTTACCCACAAAAGTACCGTCAGTGTGTGTGTTGTTTCATACTAGGACCTTGACACTACTCTCCTGCAACTTTCTACACTTATCATTACACCACTACCCACCACTGTTCTCTCCTAACTACAGTATTTGAGGTTTCTTTGTCACTTACTCTTGCTTGTTTCCGTTGGTGTCATGCGTGCCATTTTTTTTTTTCAGAATACCACGGCAATGTGTTGTGGTCTGCCGAGAACTATCCTCACCTCCACTCCCCCCTCTCCCCCTGCATCACCCTCCAGTGGACTCGTCGCGATGGTAACACAGTCAACCTCCCTTGGTCTCTCCTGGTGCGTGGGGATATTATACTCATGAAACCTGGACAGAAAGTTCCTGCTAGATGTAGGCCCATGCAGGTAAGTAGTATAATTTTTATTTATTCCTAACATTTACTGGTACTACAGTATATGCACAAGTGATGCAACCCTGGTGCCTAAGGTCCGTAATTGCCTTGGATAATGAGGAGTATCTATTGAAATATATGTGGTGAAAGTTGCTGGCTGAGAAAGCATCTCCCCTTATTCAAATTAATTCTTATGGGGGAAAATTGCCCCAATATTCACAATTTCGTTATTTTCAATGACTTTTAGGAGTGCCTCCCTTGCGATAACTGGGGTATTCCTGGTACAGTATGCACGTGACACAGTACAGCCGGGCAGTCACCCAGCTGACCCAATGCCTTAATACATATGTTCACTTCCCACACATACACACACATGCTCTTAATTTTTTTTTTTTTAGTTTTATAATTTCTTTATTTCTAAGCCACATTAGAGTATTGTAATGATTTCTTTTCTTCTCAAACAAGCACAGAGAAGCGATAAACATACTGAGATAAGGGAGAAGGATGGTTTGTTGATCCTTTATATAATGTACTTTAAACCTTTGTTATCAAACCACTATAAAACTATTTAAAATTCAGATACTGTACCATGTGGCAACAATGGTACATATTCTGTTACGAGTAATACTATTAGAAATGTCGTTTGACAATAAATTGACGATACGTATTTAGATAGCCAAGCAACTTATGAATTACACTGGTGTCAATATACATTACTGGACCCTCGATAAAGAATGATATTAGGTTCCTGAAACCTCAATTAGTTGTGAATCATTCTTTACTGAACTTCTTATGGGAAAGAGGGCTAGGGTCTGAACATCGCAAAGATTGACTTTTTTAACTATAGTACGTATGCCTATTTTCATCCACGATGGCGTCACAGCAGTAGAGTACTGCATTCACAAGAGTACTGTACTGTACATAACATAAAATATGGTAAGAAATGATTTATTGAGAATCGTGCATGTCGTATTCTCTTTACCACCGATCAACAACTAACCATCACCATCTCCCTACTGTACACCCATCTTATGATGTCAAACAACAAGCATGGAATTATTGTGATCCTAATACTACTCATAATAAAATCACTGGTACTGTACTTCCCAAGGTAAAACTACTTTGTTCAGCAGCACACCTCCATACATTATTTGTTACTTATGGCATTATAAATTTTATGATTTGACAGATAAGGATGGGTGTTTTATTCATATTTTATTTTGCGTTATTAACAAGGTTCTGAGTTATGAATAAATCAACTTATGAACAGGTCCTGAAATGTAACCCGTTCATTATTCAGGGGCCCCTGTACAGTATACAGATTCATCCAAGGCAAACACTTGGATGGATGCCAATATGCAGAAATTAAAAGCAATATAACATTTACGAGACAAAAACTTATCATATTTTCTACAAGATCTGGAGAAAAAATATAACTTAAGTGTACATCTATTATCTATACTGTAATTCAAAATTTATATTTCTTTAATATTGTATACCATCAGCTTCAACTACAAAGAAAATTATATAAAGTTAAATTTACCTGTACATGTGGTTTCTTCTCCAACACTTTCTATGAAGATATTTCATTCCATCCATCAATGGGTCCCAGCTTTCATAATGTGTGAGAAGTGAGACAGCAATAAAAGATGTCATCATGGGAATTGCACCAATATAAATTAGCAGTGAATACTTGATGCCCTTGAGCCAGATGTCCACAAACATTGTCAAGGGAATAGTTAAGCTCAAAGATAAAGTAGCCATCAATGATGAAGTAAGGAAGCATCCCCTGCAAAATAAAACACCTTCAATTCCCAAGTAATTCCAATGTAGGTCAAACAATTACAGTATTACCCCGCCTAACGCGGTTTCACTTAGCGCGTTTTCGCATATACGCGGTGCCTTGCCAGAGCTGAACTTTCACTTAACACAGATTTTTTCCACATATACGCGGTGAGTGTCCGGCTCGAGATGCTATTTTTAGATTTTGCCCACGCGCCACCCGCCTGCCTGCCTGCCTGTGCTCCTCGCCTCTCCCTCCTCCTCCCTCCGCTTGGGCAAGCCGCGCGGTAAGGTTGCGCAGTGTGTGTCTTTGTTGCGTTATCACTGACGTCATATGACGTATCGGACTGTGATTGGCCATGCATCCCTACCCCCCTCTGCTGCTAGCTGTAATTGGCTTAAAGTATTATGACGTGACCACCCCGGGGAGGGAGGGAGGAGAGACGATGCTTGACCTAGCTGCGGCAGTTTGATCCCTCAAGGCCACACCGTGTTAACGCGCATCCATTGTTCCGTAAAATGGCTTCCGCCGGACCACCATCGCCCCCAGAGAGAGACCTTTCCTTACCTGGACCCAGCGGCACTAAGCCAAAGAAGACACGACGTTCATTGAGCTACGAGGTGAAGTACCAAATTGTTCAAGATTTGGAGAAAGGAAGACGGCAAGTTGATCTCGCGCGCCAGCATGGCGTCAACGAATCTACGATTCGTACGATCAAGAAGGATGCAGCCAAGATCAAAGAGCACATGAAAATCACAAAGTCTGCAGGTGCTTCATCTATCAGGTATTGCCAGAACAGGGTGCTGGCAAAAGTGGAAAATTTGCTGGCGAGTTATTTGGTGCGTCAGGCGCGACGCAACATGGCGGTGGACACGCGCTCAGTGCAGGAGTACGCACGTGAGCTATACGCAGCAGTGACATGTAAACTGGGAATTGCAGAGCCCAAACCCTTCAATGCTTCCTCTGGTTGGCTGCATAGGTTTAAGAAGAGGAACAAGATCACCAACATCAACATTGGTGGTGAGGAAGCGAGTGCTGACCGTGTGGCGGCTAGAGATTTTCCTCCGTTTTTACGTGAGATTATGGAGGAAGGACAGTACAGTGACGACCAGGTGTTTAACATGGACGAATCTGGTCTTTTCTGGAAAAAGTTACCTTCCAAGACCTTCGTTGTCCAGTCTGCCAGCAAGGTAAGGGGTCGGAAGTTGCAGAAGGAACGCATCACCGTCCTGTTTACCACCAATGCCTCCGGTACCTGTAAACCAAAGTTATCGGTGATTCACACAGCCCGCAAGCCGCACGCCTACAAGAATATGGACATGAACAAGCTTAATGTCCACTGGCTAACCGCACGTAAGGCGTGGATGTCCTCTTCTCTGTCCCTCTTCTGGTTTGACAACTGTTTTGTTCCCGACGTGAAGAAATTCTGCGAGCAACAGAATGTTCCATTCAATATTTTGTTGCTCCTTGACAACGCACCTGGACACTCGCCCCTACTTATGGATCGTCACCCCAACGTAAAAGTGGTCTTCCTTCCTCCCAACACTACGTCATTAATCCAGCCCATGGACCAGGAGTTGATCTGCAATGTGAAAGCTGCGTACTCTGCAAAGAAGTTCAAGCTCCTGAACGACTCTACCAACACCAAGGATGAGTTGCGTAAGCTGGGTGACACCGACAGCGAGAGCAAAAGCGACGAGGACAAGGAACAAGAGGCGGTGACTCAAGAACTTCTCGTCAAACAATTTTGGAAGAAGTTTAACGTTAAACAAGCTGTAGACTTCTTGGTGGAGGCATGGGATCTGCTGACTATTGCTACGATTCGTCACGCATGGAGACATGTGTTGCATGGCATACCAGGTGAGAGGAGGAGTGAACCTGTGACTGGTCAGGTTCAGACTGTTGCAGTAGCAGTGGACCTTGCCAGAGAAGCTGCGCTCAATATTACAGCTGAAGGCTTCTCCGAGACCACCAACGAAGACATCCTGGAGGTGATCAAAGATCCTGAAGTGACTGCCGACGAGATGTTGGAAAAAGAACACGCCAGTGAAGAGGAGGAAGAAGGTGCGTCATTCTCCGAAGAACCTAGTTTAAGTCATAGTGATATTAAGTGTGCCATAGAGTTTGCAGAAAAAATTAAGTCCGTCCTTTCCCGCGACAATGACGATGAACGCTATGAAGTCTTCCATACCCGACTGGTGCAGGCTATGGAGCCGTACATCAAGGTGTATCACGACAACATCAACACCAGCCGTCAGCAAAGCATAACCGAGTTCTTCGCCCGCAACCCACCACAGCCAGCCCAAGCCAGTGATAGTGAAAGTGAAGTTGACTTTGAGGGATTTGTCAGGGAAGCCCTGACAACTGTAAGTGACAGTGATGTTGATTCACCTAGTAATGGTGATTCACCTGAGGGCCAGTAATCTGCCCTCTGCCTCGGAACCAGCCTCCATCCCCGTATGCCGACCCATCTCTTCTACTACCGTAAGTGTTCCACCTAACTTTTAGTTTCTCTTAGGTAACCTTCATTTTTCCTATGTTAACCTTTATCTTTCCTAACCTAACCTCTTCTATATTACTTGTTTTTTCATACCATCATAAAGTTAAGATAGAATTTTTACTACAACATAGTTATGTGTCGTCAAAAAGTGGAGTTTGGGGGTCGGGCTGGGTTCTATTGGAATTAATCCCATATGTTCTGTTGTTCACTTAACGCGGATTTCACTTAACGCGGGACCCTCTGGGTTCAATTGACCGCGTTAAGTGGGGTACAACTGTATAGAAGGTGTTAACTAAGAAGACAATTCCAAAAAAAAAGAATCTTTACTGCAAAAATTTTTTCTTGCATTATCAGCTAAGAGAGGAATGTATGATATTCTCTGAAACACTTCAATTCAGAAACAAATTCAGACTTTATTTCAAGAAATAAAGTATAAAGGTAAGCACCTATTTGGTACATCCTTTTTCTCTTCTATGATACAGTGGCTACAATCAAGAACATATACACACACACACTGTTCGTTTTTGTCACTCATCCTCTAAACCGCTAAGACACATGCATTGTGCGATATTGTTCCCTTCCACAACAATGCTCAAAGACATCCTTCTACATTTTCCCTGTCACTTTACACAATCTAGCATCCTCAAACCACAGAGTCCATTCTCAAAAAGTACTTGATGCCATACTGTCTAGTCAGGCTCAAGATGATTATAAACTAACCTAAGGTATCATATTGTTTCACACAGAGTAAGCACAGATACTTCTTTTAGCTACTGTACCTATAGTTTTTTATTTTCCTTTTTTATGATGGTTTTTCAATAATCATAATCTATGGTTTAAACATATGGGAGATTATGGCCGGAATCAACATTTCAAAGAGGTCATGGTCATCAGTGCCCAACCATAAAAATTCTGGACATATTAATCAAATTTCATAAATGAGATTGACAATATCAATACTTTGTTATAAATGGTGTAATTGATAAAGCATTACTAACCAAAGCCAAAGAAGTTCAGACAGGACAGTTCCTACTAAGCCATTAACAGACATGTAGAACAGGTGTTGCAGATTTGGCAACTAAAATGTCTCCCATCCAAAAACATCCAACAGGGGGAACCCGGGCCACAGAATGATGGTATTGAAAAAGCCCACAAATCCTGGAGAAAAAAAAATATTAATAAGAAAACAAATTAAAAAGACCAATACATTCAACCTATCTATCTACAGTACCTACACCAACTGTGCCACAAATTTTGTTTTATTTCAAGAAGTTAAAATCATTACACTTTAATAATTCACACCCGAACAACTGAAGGCAATAAATTTGTACAGAATAAAGCAAAATTATCTCTCCCTGAAAAATAAGAATCCTCTCTTTGTGTTAGTGTTGTGTTCTGACAGTTTAACGGTGTGAATTCCCATGAAGAAGTAAATACAATGCCTGCCAAGTAACTGAAGTATGGCATATGAATACGATGTGACAGTTAGAAATTCAATGACAACACAATTGTATTAGCTTATGACTACCTGGTAAATGTAATAGGAGAGTGGTTAAGTTATCATTTCATATTACTGTACAGCTATATTGCTAAAGTATTACCTTCAAGAACTATAAAAACATTGACCAGATCATGATGGATCAGGGAGTTGATCATTCTTTGAACTGGGTCGACTCCTCTGATTTGCCCTTTGAGGAGATGCTGATATTACATAATGATGTCTTCTAGTCCATTTCAAACCATTATTGTCCAGAGGTGGCAAAGAAAATTACAGTACGAGATGACTCTCGTTGGAATGACTCCTCTATAAGTTCACTTTGTATGGATCGTAGAAGTGCTGAATGAGAGAAGCACAGGCAGTGAACAGACCGTACTAGATCAGAGTACATAATATGACTGTGCGTACGGCTGTTGTTTGTTCAGTGTGGGCACACAACGCTGAATATTGTATACTACAGAAGTCAAGTGGCCTCATGTGGCAGTGACCAGAAAAAAATATATACAGTTATGAATGGGCTGTTGGGCCAAAGGTCTGGAATTACTATGCTTTGTTCCACTTCAAATGGTCAGCTTGCCTCAGATGTTTCCTAAGGTTTTTATGACAAAGATATCATGTGACCTTGATTGTGTTTCTTTAGATGAGAAATTTTCAGTTATTTTCAACCAAGTTACACAATAGAACTCACTCTTTCATCATTTTGTCTTACAGAGGTGAACAACATTCTGCACTATATCAAGGATTTGAAGAAGACTTTGTTGTCGTGATCTTACAAATGTATTTAAGGTATCACTCTCTTATGAACATACTGCAGACTTTATTTGTAGAATCATATATATGTGATTGTCAGAGGGTAATTTTGTGTGATCTGAAAAACAGGCTTTATTACATCCACTTCTGGTCTTGATACTGAAAATATGTAAAATTATAGTCATCCAGTCTCGAGTCTCATTTTCATCAGAGATCATACTATGCTGGATTAGTTACTTTCTCTGTTAGAGAGAAGCAAGTGATCCATCTGGTCCAGTCAGCCTATAGGTTGCATCATTCAACTGAAACTGCCTATGTTGAATTCATAATGATTTGGTCATAAACACTTGCACAGAAAAGTCCTCCCTCCTGGCCCTACTGGATCTCTCTGCAGCATTTGCAGCATGGCTTCAGGATCTTTGGTCATTCAGTGTCCATGATGATGCATTCTCACTGTTTGAGTCTTATCTGTCAGAGTGATCTCAATGTGTGATAGTTGGTGGAACCGTTTCAGACCCAGTCCCTTTGCAGTTTGTCGTCTCACAGGGATCAGTTTTGGGACCACTTCTGTTTACAGTCCATACCAGTAGTTTTGTAATTTTGCTGGATGTTCATGGTGTTGCCTTACTATTTCCATGCCAATGATACACAGCTTTATGTCCAAATGATAAATGTCAAGGATATTGAGAGATATTGAAATTCTTGATGTCTGATATTAAAAAATGGATGGCTAGACAAAAACCTAAGATGAATGATGGCAACACCGAGATTATCGTCATCCAAGGAAATAGGAGGGGTTACAGCACAGATGATTTTGGCTCTTTAAACTTTGGAGAAGTACAACTCAATCCTGTCAATTCTGCTCATAATCTTGGAATGTATACTTTGACTCAAAACTGAATTTTAGAGTCTATCTCGATTAACCCTTTAGAGGGCAGCCCCACACTTAGGTACTTTATTCATTTTATTTTTACTTTTATCCTCTTTGCTACTGATTGGCTCATTAGCAGCTTGGGCAGTCGGTCACATCTCTGTTATGTACTGTTGGCGAATACTGGGCATGCACTGACTCCTGAGTATATCGGAACCTGCTCCAATGTTGGTCAAATCTGGTTTCAAATGAGCTCACACTCAGTGCCGTCACAACACTCTCGGGTAGATTGTTCCTCGAATTCACAATTCTCACTCCAAACATGTTTGCCCTCACAGTTTTATGGACTTGTGGCTTCTTCAACCTTGAGCTGTGACCCCTTGTGAGGCGGACGTCCGCCAGCTCCAGGTATGTACATTAGACCAAGCAGTGCCCCCTGAGGTGTTTATACACATCGATTAGGTCGCCTCTCGCCCGTCTGTAGTATAAGCTAGGTAGTTGCAGGCGTTCTAATCTCTCTAAGTATTTGAGGTTCTGTAGAGCAGGCCCCAGTCTGGTAGCCCTCCTTTGGACATTTTCAATCAATTGACAGTCTCTAGTATACCTTGGGGAAGCATCTGCTAATGCCAGAAGAATTCATTCAGCTAAAAGGTTAAAGAGCATAGAAACTCAGTTGCAACTTTCATATTCAAAATCTATCGGCTGTGAAACAGTTTTTAGATAGACAGTGTCTTGTGGCACTTATATTCACTTATTTTGTCTTGGGTTGACTATTTTAACTCTTTATGGGTTTGCCTACCTAATTATCTAGTGAAAAAAGTTCAGGGTGGTGAAAAAGGATGCCAGGCTTACATGTGCTCTCCTACTGAGGACTTCCACTACCCTATTCTTAATCGAATTGCACTGGCTTCCAATTAAAGAAAGAAAAAAGTTCAAACTCTGCCTAATGACTTTTAAGGCACTTATGTTTGATGAGCCTAAGTAATTGTCCAACCTACTAAATCCTCTGACCTAGAGCATTGTGGAAATGCTCTTTTGTGGCCCAATCCTTTTCCTATATCGCACCCAGATTGTACAATCATTTGCCTGCATCCATGAAGCAGCTGACTTCTGTGGAGGCTTTTAAGAAACAACTTAAGACCTTTCTTTTATTTTGAAAGCACATGATCCTGAAAAGAGCTTTGGAAGTGATACAACTTAAGGATTAATGAACTGTCACTTCTTGTGATTTTTGTTATATTTTTATTTTTATTTTTTTATTCTCAGAACTTTGACTTGTGAAATTTTGAGCGCTAGTGAATTACTTGGAAGAATTGGAGCTTTTGTTTCTCAAAAGTGCCAGCTTTTATTATTATTAAAACAATATCTGATTGATCAATAAATCTCCCAGAGCTAACTGGGTACTAAGGGCATGGAATGGGGGGAGGGGAGGGAAGAGTGCAAAGAAGAGGAGAGAGAGATGATAGAAGGGAAAGGAGAGGAAATTAATTCACTTACCAAAGAACATAGTAAAATCCATACGATCTTCAGTTGGAACCTTGTGCTTCAGGAAGACCATGTAACAGGCATAAAGAATAGCTCCAGCTATTGACCATACCACACCAACAGGCACAACTGAACTTTCAAGGTTGAGGTCTTCCAAACTAACTAAAACCTGAAAAGTAATTGGCAAGACATATATCCAAAATATCTTAAAAATATTTGTTGGGTATATTCAAAGTTTTAAACTGTTTTTTTCTTGGATAAACACTGTCATCAATCACAAAACAGTAATGAGGTCTCCTAGCTTTCAAACATGTATCATTATCACATGTACACTTTCCAGAACATGTAGTGTATCTCGAAAACTAGATACATTACAATACTGTACAGGGATCCCCGACTAACGAACGTCCAACTTACGAACGCCTGCAGATATGAATGGGGTTAAATGTGAAATTTACAGTATCTCTTTAATTTACCTGTAAGCCCCCCAGAAGATGCTTTAAATCTGACCAATATCATGTACATTTTGAGGCTATGTGCACTTGATATTAGGAGATATTCTAAAATCAATAGTAAATACTTTTTACAATACAAAAATGCCTGAGTACAATACTGCATTAAAGAAAAAGTACAGTAGTACCCCGCTTAACGCGGTCAATTGAACCCACAGGGTACCGCGTTAAGTGAAAACCACGTTAAGTGAACAACAAAACATATGGGATTAATTCCAATAGAGACTGGCCCGACCCCCAAACTCCACTTTTTGACGACACACAACTATGTTGTAGTAAAAATTTTATCTTAACTTTATGATGGTATGCACACACAATTAATATAATTATAGCATTAGTAGAAAAGATGGCTGGGCACACGGGGATGGGGGTTGGTTCCGAGGCAGAGAGCAGATTATTGGCCCTCACCTGTATCACTTGTATCAATTGTATCACTATCCACCACAGAGGCTTGCAGGGCCTCTTTGTCAAACACCTCAAAGTCCATATAAGTCCATATCCTCACTATAATTATCACTATAATTATCACTATCACTGACTTGGGCCGGCTGTGGCGGGTGAAGAACTCTGTAATGTTTTGATGACTGGGCGACCTTGTGCGCATCGTGCCCGCGCCGCTTCCCGCGTATATGATGAAAAATTCCGCGTTAAGTGAAAGTTCAGCTCTGGCGAGGCACCGCGTATATGATAAAACGCGTTAAGTGAAACCGCGTTAGGCGGGGTAATACTGTATTGGAATTTTCTGTTGAAAAGGGAACCCCCGCCCTGGATCCACCCTTGTGGTTATTTGCACATACAGGTACAAAA